AGGTTTGGAGGTCAAAGGTCAAGTTCATCTTTGCTGTGTGTTTTTATACCGGCTGAAATAGAATTGTGATGCATACAGATCAGGGGGAGATAAGTGATGCTTTGTTTGTTTATCTAGGTTTGTGAATGCATTGCTGCAGTGAGTTTCCTTTAAATAACGTCTTGGCACAACAAGATGCTGAGAGTCATCATATTTCCAGGGATTAAGTCCAGCAATATCTGCTAAAAGTTATCAAATTGACTCATAATCAATGTCACATAGATTAAATTCATTTGGAAAAAAAAATTTCTAAACATACAAATTACTTCTCACTTTAGCCAATCACTTAGAATATTCATATCATTTATATATAGGTTCCAGGATGGAAATCCATCAGATTTTGTTTGAAAAAAATCACCTTGACAAGAATTTAAGGTCACATAGGTAAATTTGCAAAATCAAACAATTTCTTTGATTAAGAATTCTTATCATGGTAGAAGGATCTGGATAACTTATAGCCATCATGTATCGTCCATCATAATGGGCAAAACTTCCATTCAAATCATTTTTTCTCAATAACCAGGCTTCGGGTACTAATATTGGGCTTGTAGTATGACTGGATGAAGGGCTACCAAGTTTGTTAATATCAATGACCATGACCGACTTTCAAGATCATAGGGGTAAAATATGTCAATTTTTTTTTAAATGGCTGCTTCTCAATAACTAAAATGTCCAGAATGCTGATATTAAGCCTGTAGCATACATAGAGTTGGGGCTGGCAAGTTTGTTGATATGATCTACCTTGACCTGCATTCAAGGTCACCAAGGTAAAATACGTTAAAATCTTTAAACGACTTCTTATTAACTAAAAGGCTTATATTATAATGTTGATATAGGGCCTGTGGCATGCTGGGATGAAGGGTTATCAATTTTGTTCATGTGATCAGCATTTTCTCTGTTTAAAAGTCTAAAAAACAAAGGGTCCAGGCTGTTGACAATGGCTCTTTAATACAAGTGGATGAAGGGCTACAGATTTGTTAAAATAACTAACCTTGACCTATATTTAAGATCTCATAGGTTACATAAGTTGAGACCTTAAATATCTTTTTCAACAAGCAATAGGTTTGAATTAATGGAATTTGTGTGGTAGTATGTGTTAAGTTTTCAGAAAATGTTCTTACGAATTATTGCAATCGCCTTTTGTCAAGCATAAACAATTAACATTTTTGACATTTTCTCAATAACCAAATGGCCCAAAGTGCTGATATTGGGTCTGTGGCATGTCGGGATGAATGATTACCAATTTTGTTCATGTGATTGACCTTTTCTCTTTTAAAAGACCGCAAATGTATTAAAACCTTCAAAAACTTTTTCTCAATAAGAAAATGGGTCAGATTGTTGATTTTGGTTCTTTAATATCTGTGGATGAAGGGCCTTGACCTTAACACAAGGTCTTAAAATATCTTTTTTTTTTCCATCAATGTCTTCTTTGTAAGCTGTAGAGTAGTTGAGCACTTTATTGAGGCCTATTTGGTGTCTTGTATATATAGGTCTTTATAGTCAGATGATTGTTAAGGTCTGTTGGCATAATGTGTTTATTTTCTTTCAGAAATAGTTCAGACTTTGTAAGAATTTTTAGTATAAGATGAAAGTTTGATGAAATTTCGACAATTATCTTCTCGACACCCAGAAAAGGTAGAATCAAATGCTCTTCGTAGATGGAAGCATCTTAAGGTGCTTTACCACGATTATGAATTTCATGGCCCCAGTGTCTCACATTTCCACAGGGGGTAGAATTTACTTTATTATATATAGGAAAATTACATAATTTGTTTATTTTCTTTCTGAAATAGTTCAAACTTGGTTAGCATATCAATATAAGCTGACAGATTGACGAAATGTACATATTGAACTCGGCTGACCCCAGGGGCTGATGGATGGAGCTATGAATAGGTCTAATTGACTGATATTTCAAAGATGTTGTACTGTTGATTGATAGATTATTTTATAAAGGAAAAATTCAACATTTAATTTCAATTTCTTTTAATTCAAACTTGGTTAGAAGCCTTAGCATGGGACAGCAGTTAATGTTATGTAGATTACATTTACATTATGTGTACAATGTAGTTAAATTATCTTACTTTTTAAAAAAAATCATTTCTATGACATGCTACTAAAAGCATTGTAATTCAGGTGACTATTAAGGCCTTTGGGCCTCTTGTACTTGAATTTTTATAACTGAATTTGTGAAAAAAAATTACCTTTATCTAATTCAAAGGCACAGTAGTCACACTTGAATAAACACTAAAATGACTTCTTTATAAAAACCTCAAGGCCAGAAATCCTGATATTTATCTGATAGTTTCTTTCACGGAAGACTGGCCATATTTCAAAAAATCATGTGTTAACCTTTTCCGCTCCAATTTTGTTACTGGAGTAAGATTTTGTTAGAACATTCAAAGAACCTCTCCAGATGAACCAAAATCCCAGAAGTTTTTTTTTAAAAATGGCTGAGATAAAATTCCTTGATAAAACTTGAATAAGTGAATGTTGATAAAGCAGAGGAATGCTTATCCTTCTGGAACACCTAGTCTAATTCTTCTTGTACTTTTTCAGTAGTCACTTTGTAAATCTGTCGTTTGTTAATGTTTTGTCCTAATTTTTTCTAACTTGTGTGAACTTGGATTCTGTTGACATGTCAGTATTATCTTTGTTTTTTTGAGTAAAGAAATTATCTACATTCAAGGTCATAGCAGTCAAATATACATTCCAACAACTCCTTATAGTAAACTAAAAGCCTTTAACCTTTGTAATTTTGTTGGTAGTTCCCATGGACAAAGCCTGACAAAGTCTGTGAAGATAAGTGACCAAGATCTAAATTTGTTTCAATGGGGTCAAATGTGTTTAATGCTTGAATGGTTTCTCCTGATAAACCAAATGACTTAAATGTTTGGTCGGTAGGTTCAATAATGACAGCCTGACAAATTTGTGGAAACAAATGACCTTGACCTTAATGCTAGGTCACAGGGTTAGATTTGTTAAGTACTCAAATGACTTCTCCTGATAATCAGATTTGAATCATGATATTCGTCAGTATGTGACAAGCTTGTTAGAAAGTTAAGAAACACCTGATCCAATGTTGAGATGTGTCAGTTATCACAACACTATATATAGCACGCTTTCTTTGACTGATTATATAGTCTCTATGTCAGTTAACACTTATAAAACGTGATACATTCAAATCCTGTGTAATTGGATGAGGCAACCAGTTTTATGTGTGTGCACCTTGCTGACGAATCTTAAAACGTTGATTCATTATATGTGAAAACATGCAATGTTTGTGTAAGGTGAGGAGATTCAAACAAATTTCACCTTGAATTTTTTCCTGATTTTGAATGTTGCTGTATTGGCATAAATTATGTGTATACAAAAGAACCTGATATAAATGCAGACAGTGCAAGGATCAAGATTGGTTTTATTGGCCAAACTGATAAGATATATTTATATTCTATATGTCATCATTACATCGGCCCATCATACAAAATTAAATCTATTTTCTCTCATAATCTTTTGGTCTTGGTGCACTTACTCAGAAAATTTGATATCAGTTTCTTTTATGTGGCTGCCACTGTGACAGGTGTACAAATTTTCTATTATATGTCAGTGGTAAGAGGAGCCATCATGATACAAGCAGCATTATTGATTCTCGGGAGTAGCAGCTAGGTTTTCATGTCAGCTTCAGATATGTGTTTTCATAGTGAAATTTTTACTACAAAATTATCTTAATTGGTTACAATAAATGGTATACTATTACCATGTCATTGCTTTAACATGTATCAAGTAAGATGTCTGTTTAAAATTCACAATATTAATGCATGTAGCAGTGCATAATGAACCTACGTCTACGGATATCATGCTCCATGACACAAATGCTTTACACTAGACAGCATTTCATAGACCAGAGCTGTATTGACAATGTGCCTACGTCATCGACCCAGTTTCTGATGAGTTCAGCTAGCTTGCTTGCTAGTATGGATATTTCTGAATTTCTCAGTTGAAGGTTTCTGTGATATCAGACAAGGTATTCTGAGGAGAGTTCAGCTGTAGGTATATATATATATATATATGGTGTATATAAATATATATATATATATTAAGAATATGACAATGTTAATTGGTGTGCAGTGATGTAGAGAAATTTTAGAAGGTATTTATCTATATCGGTCAGACAAGGTGATATCATTTAGAGAACAGAACAATCCTTCATTGGATGTATATTTAAATACATGGTTTTCAATACTTTTGAAAAAATTCTAGATTACTATTATGGAAGGAATTAATATTAATTTGAGTGTCGTAGTCCTTTCTAGACAGCTATGATGTGTGTGTCTGGATTGGATTACCCTGTTGGAGCCCTAGGATGTCACACTGTGTCCATCTGTTGAACACTGACCTTGTGTTATCAGGAACATTAACCTGAGTTGACCCTTAGCTACCACCTGACCTGATATACCCTCTATCAGTATACAACGACCTTACCTTATCTGACCTCTACTCTAGCTTGACCAGTTAAGGACCACTGGTCATTTCGATTTAGGTAGACAGGACATGCTACGGTTTGAATTTGTGTATAAATAACCTTCTCATACAGGTAATGATTGAAGATACTATGTATATCAGTACACGTGTACTGTCAGTATTTGTGTAGCTCTTTAGGGATCTATGTTTACTATGTGTGTGTGTGTGTGTATGTGTGTGTGTGGTGACACCATGTGAGTTCTATAGGGTATCAAATTTTACTACAGCGTTGTGTTTTCACTGCTTAAGTTTACCAATATGTTTGTCCTGGATTGTTGATATTTTTTAGCTAAAGCTGATCGATAAATTGGAAATACCTTACAAACATGCTTCAGTTGTAATGACATTGTGTGTTTAGTATATAAATAGATTACTGGTGATAAAAATATCAGTGATAATGTGACAAGAATTTTACTCACCTCCTAGGATTTCACAAGAAAGCCATGTCAACAGCCTTGTTACCAAATGGAATTTTCACAGAGTTTAGTCTGCAACATGAGCATGAAGGTATTTATAATTTGATGTATTCATTTTCTACAATTCTAATACAGACTCATTAGTTTACTAAATGTGCACTGTATTTCATTTTTCATTTCTGCACCATTCAATTCTACATCTTTGAACTGTTTGGCCATTAAATATTACGTCATGTTTTATCACATTAAACCAAATTCAAATGCTGTTTCTTCTTGTCACATAAAATTATGTTTGTTCTTAAGGAAAAAATTACTAGAAGTTTCTAAATTGATCTGGTGAATTCTTTACATTTTCCATTCTATTTGTACAAATTGTTCCAATAGTTTTTTCAATATATACAACTTCTTCTTATGAACCATTTTAGTCTAGGGTCATTGTGTATATCTGGTAGATCCTTGCCCCTGCAAAATGATTTTGAAAAGTTCATGAAAATTCAAGATTAGTTAATTAAATACTTTTTTATTAATCTTTTTTTAAAAGAATATTCATGTCGTTCCAAGTTCATGAGTCAAATATTTCCTGAAAGTTTTATGAATTCATTATACCATTAATAAAAAAATATCTTTCATGAACTTTTGATACATAAAATTATACAAGAACTTTCATGAGCTAATTAATGCATTATACATGAAATGTCTCAGTTAGGAGTGTTTTGAAGATATGTATGAACTTCAAACTTCATGAATCATTAAATCCTGGACACTTTCTGTTCTAATTTAAGCATACTGTTTCCGTATTACTGCCATAGAATTGCACTACTTTAGCATTGCTTTACCATTTCTGAAGCATTATGTAGAATTCATGGAATACTGTCTTAACACTTGCATCTATAGCTGCCCACTGGAAAACTCTTTGAAAATATTCTGTTGACAATTTTATGGATGGTACATCCTATAAAAGTAGAAACAAGTTGTTTTCCAACCGTTTAACTTTTGCGTACATTTTCCATTACACTTCTGTACAGTTTATAGCATCTTCTTGTAACTTTAGCATTTTCTCGGCGTTTGTGTCCTTGACGGAAAAAAGAAGATGTATCATCAACAAAATATTGAGCATTGAGTAAAATTTTAATATATCTCGACTTAATGAATCCATTACCAGCAACATGACATATTAGAACATAATTGCAGTATGAACTTCATGAATGTATCAAATATCGTAAGAAAAAAATATTGCATCACAAAAAGGCAGAATCATTACTCAACTGCGCCACGGACCATTGACCACGGCTATTAGTCGTGCCTTCAATGATCAGTATAGTTTTTTTCTTGTATCAGATTAAATAAATTTGAATTTGTCAATGATCTAAAAATGTATACTAGTATACATTGTCTTTTATGCACCAAAAAAAAATGAGATTGGTAATCCAACTTGGTTATTAACAGTTCCTTTATATTGAGAAATGCGTATGTATATGTCAAACGTAATTCAGTGAACTGTGACACCTATAACAGATGATATCTTTCAAACACAGTCAGTATTCCTGACACAATATGCCACCTCATATTCAAAGATTTTACTTGCTTCCAGTTGTCATTGAACTACAATCAGTCCAGACGACAATGATCAGGCTTTCATCAGAACACATCTGATACTTTGCATACAATTTACAGGGAGTACTAGGTAGTACTGATGGAGCATTTGCGTAATTGCTGTCGAATATTGAAATGACTTTGACAAAGTGAAAACAAAATGCATGGCCGCAGAAATGTTGAATAATTATAAAATTTCAAGACTATTTGTATGGACTATAGTGACACTGAGGATACATTTTGTCCCTCACCTTAAAGAAATATGTTGTACCCTAAATTCAGGACAAAACATTTTTAGTTCACCTGACATACTACAACATCCATCGTCTGTCTATTCATCAGCCCATTTATCTGTTTGTAGGTCAACTTTTCCTACAAATCGCTACTGGTCATCAACAACTGAATTTGAAGACCAAATGTGGTCAGAAGCATCCTTTGGAGTAAATATAGAATAATCTTCCAAATTCTTCTTCTGCAGGAGTTATTGGATTTTTAGGCTGCCTGAGCCGAAGGCTCATGGTGACGCATTGCAATCATGATTTGTCTGTCGTCGTGCGTCGTTATCTTTTCACATATTCGACTTCTTAAGAACCACTGAATGGATTTTAACCAAACTTGGCACAAAGCATCCCCATGGGAAGCCGTTTCAAGTTTACAAAGAATAAGGGCACGGCCCTAATAGGGGCCCCAGGAGGGGGAAAAAGGGGGTAAAATTAGGTAGATCTTTAAAATCAGGTCAAAAACGGCCCCACTAGGGGGTGCTCAAAAGGGTCAAAATTTCAACTTTGACCGATTTCAACCAAATTTGGTAGAAAGCATCCATCAGTGAAGGACATATGAAATTATGTTGAAAAAAGTGATTGGGGCCCCAAAGTGGTGTAAAAGGGGCCATATGTAAAAACCTTCTTTAAATGACTTCTTCTCAAGAACCAGTGGATGGATTTTCAAGAACCACTGAGTTAATTATGTCAAAACTTGATACAGATGTTCAACACAATGTCCTACATAAGTGTTATTACTTTTTGGTTCGATTCAAAACCCAAGATGGCTGTCATGACCTCTGATTAGCTGAGACATTTTCAACTTGTCAAGAGTCAAGAACCACTGGGTTGATCATATCTAAACTTGATACAAATGTTCTACACAAGGTCCTGGCAAGTGTTTTAACATTTGGGGCGATTCAAAATCCAAGATGGCCACCCTGGCCTCTGTTTGGCTAAGACATTTTGGACTTCCTCTCAAGACCCACTGGGTGGATCATGTTCAAACTTGGTACAGATGTTTTACACACGGTCCTGCACAAGTGTTGTTAAATTTTTGCAACATTTTAAAATCCCCAGATTATTGACATATATTCCTCAGGTGACCATTAAGGCCCCTTGGGACTCTTGTTCTGTTTACTTCCAGCAGTTGACAAACTTTCTCATTAAATTGGAATCAGCTGTTTGGCTATTCCAATAGTTGTCTGGCTGTTTCTTCAGCATGTATAACATCCAATGAATAAGGATTATTGGGGTTTTTTTAAGAAGAATAGATAAAGAACAAATGCTCCCAAGATGTAAATATAAGAAGTGATTTTTCATTTTTGTTGTTCGCTTGAGTGTAAACCGCATCTTTTAACAGATATTTCAAAATGACACAATAACATCCGTCATTCAAAATATCTGTTAAAAATGCAATTTAAACACCAGTAAACATCAAAATAGAAAAATTATTTCTTAACTAAAATTAGTCTCATTTGTGTTTACAAAGCATATCCTTGAGTCTTCTTTTGTATTTTTCATAATAAATAGGGATAGATTGTATAGTTAGTGTAATCTAAATCATGGACATAGGTACATAAGATATCATGTATCCAGCATAAAATAATCGTAAATGTTTTATTAAATATGACCCAGCATAGAATATTATGATATTTGTTTAAATATGACCCAGCATAAAATATTTATAAATATTTCTTTAGATTTGACCCAGCATAATCATTATAATATTTGTTTAGATATGACCAAGCAGAAAAAAATTATAAATCTTTGTTTAGATATGACTCAGAAGAAAAAATTTATAATTATTTGTTTAAATATGATCCAACATAAAATATTCATAAAAAATTCATTTAGATATGACCCATTAAAATTCATAAATCTTTGTTTAATTTGACTTCGCATGAAAGCATTTATAAATATTCATTTAGATATGACCCAGCTTAAAAAGATTATAAATCTTTGTTTAGATTTGACCCAACATATAATATTTATAGATATTTGTTTAGACATGCCATAAGGTCTGCCTGATAACTAGTTGACTGTTGATAATCAAATGCAGATAGTCTTGAAAACTCCCAAGGCCTAGAGGCACGATATTTGGCTTGTAGGTTGCTTGGATGATGTTCAACAAAAGTTTGCAAAAAGTGACTTTGACCCAAAGACCACAAAGGTCAAATTTGTTTAAACAATCTCATTAATGGAAAGGCCTAGGAGCATGATATTTGGCTGGTAGCATTCTAGGATGATGTCCAACAACGAATGTGAAGAAAGATGACTTTGGTCCTTATTCAAGGTCACAGAGGTCAAATTTCTTAAAAACTTTCAACAGCTTTTCATTATTAACCGAATGCCTAGAGACATGGTATTTGACTGATAAGTTGCTAGGATTAAGCCCAACAAAAATTGCAAAAAAAATTACCTTGACCAATAGTGAAGATCACAAGTGTCAAATTTGTTAAAAACTTTAAAACTTCTGACTAACAGATGGGTGATTGGTTTGGTGGATAAAGCCCAACGAAGTTTGCAAAAAGAAATTAATCTTATTTAAGGTCACAAGGGTCAAATAATGATAATGTTACAAAAAGAATTGACCTTCGCCCATATTGAAGGCCACAGGCCACCTAAGGCCTGAGGGGTGGGGCTGAAAAGGGGGAATTTTGCTGGTTCTTTAAAATCCTACTTTTCCTGTAGGAATGATTGGATTTTGCCCAAAATTGGTCAGAAACATATTTGGGAGACAGGAAATCAATTTGGTATAAAATTTTGATCTCAGTCCCCCAGGGGGCGGGGCCTAATAGGGGAAATAAGAGTAAATTCTTTGAAATCCAATTCCTGTAGGAATGAATGGATATTTCCCAAATTTAGTCTGAAGTATTCTTTGGAGAAGAGGAATTAGACTCTCAGTTCCCCAGGGGCCTTAGGGGCAGGGACCAAAAGGGGAAAGTCAGCAATTTCTTTAAAATCTTACAACTCCTATAAGAATAATTGGATATTGTCCAAATTTTGTTTGAAGTATTTGTGGGTGAAGGGGACTAAGTTCTGTATAAACAGTGCATTCTGGCCCCCAAGGCAAAAGGAGAGGCCCAATTGGGGAAATGTAAATTCTTAAAACATCCTTCCATTCAATGATAATTTTGTTTGTCATATTTGAAATTCTTCATTAAATGGCTGAATAGTTAGATTTTGCTAACTCTATATAGAAAATTTCATGAAGAGTTCATGAAATATTTGATGA